AAAAGTACTTGTTTACTTAAAAAAAAGTTTAAGGTAGTATTTTTGATAAAATCTAAATAATGACCTAAAAATTTGACTTTTTTGCTGACTTAACTAAACTGCTGTTTACACAAGTAACTGTTAGCAAACTTTTATAGTTTTTATTTTTCCTATATTCGTTTTAGTACTTTTTCTATTGCAGGTTTATTAAACAGCTGTAGCATGCAACAGAAAAATAAAGAGAAAATTAAAACGTAAAACTTAATAAAACTAAGCACACATGATGTCGCCAGAGAGCAGGTGCGTTTCGATTACAAAAAAGGGTGGCATTTAAATATTAAACACAGTTTTTCAATTAATTTTGGAAAATTTGCTAAACGGTACAATTTTTGGTACTTTTTGCTACATTAATTTTGTGGCATTTCCCTTAAATAGCAAATTTTTAAAGGTTTGTATTTGGTACTTTTCCGAAAAGTACTTTTTGGTAGTTTTTGCAAAATACTCTTAATATAGCTTCAATTAAGGCTAAAACAGTTTTGCATATTTTAGAACTAATTAAACATTTTATGGAGTTTTTACAACAAAATATATAATTTCCAATAAAATCCCTTTTCCATACGCCTTTTTCATTCGAAAACAGTTGTTGTGCAGTATTTCTATCCTTGTTGTATGTTTGTTGATTTGTACCTAGTAGTACTTAACAAAGTGAAAGTACTTGGGTACGTTGTTATTTTTTGAACATCATCTACATCCATCTCAAGGATAAGCAGCATCTCTTCCTGACATTGCAATTCTATTGTTTAAATACAAATGTGCACACATCATACTTATATGGAAATAGTATGTGGGTGTAAGTAAGTTTTTTTTTTTGGACATATTACAACCGAGACATGTACATCAGGGCAAGAGGAATATTTATATAGTTTTTATAAATTTTATTCTCTTACAAAAATCTTGTGTCATATAGCAAGACAGTTGAAATGATGACAGAAAAGTGTAGGAGAAGGAAGGACAGAAAGTTCTAAAATGTATTCAGGCATGTAAATTTTATTTGTTTTTCTTGGTACAAACAATTGTTCAACAAATGTCTAGTTAATGTTATAGTTTTTCATACTATTTTAAAAGTATGACTATTTATGAGCAAACTGAATATAAACAACATGTTTATATTCAGTTTGCCTTTGAACTTGTGTTTAGTTTAAGAAAAAAGTGTACAAATAAAACACACACTTCAGTTTTACCTCATTTAAGTTTGAAGGAGTTTTCTTTTATTTTGGTTTTGCTACTACTTCAGTATTTAAGTCATATAGTTTTGTTTTGCTTTCATCTATAGATGAACAAAACCAACAACAAAAACTTAGCAATTTTTCAAATAGTTTTCAAGGGCTTTTGAAAAAAGTTTCCTCATTATTTTATTTTCAAGATTTTACAATTTTAATCAGAAATATTGAACACCTTTTGAAAATAATTACAAGTAAATGAAAACATGATTAAAGACTAAACTATAGACAAGACTCTAGACCAGACTATGGCCTATGCTATAGACTAAACTACAGACTAGACTATATTCTAGACAATGGACTAGTCTATAGTCTAGTCTATAGTCTAGTCTATAGTCTAGTCTATAGTCTAGTCTATAGTCTAGTCTATAGTCTAGTCTATAGTCTGGTCTATAGTCTAGTCTATAGTCTAGTCTATAGTCTAGTCTATAGTCTAGTCTATAGTCTAGTCTATAGTCTAGTCTATAGTCTAGTCTATAGTCTAGTCTATAGTCTAGTCTATAGTCTAGTCTATAGTCTAGTCTATAGTCTAGTCTATAGTCTAGTCTATAGTCTAGTCTATAGTCTAGTCTATAGTCTAGTCTATAGTCTAGTCTATAGTCTAGTCTATAGTCTAGTCTATAGTCTAGTCTATAGTCTAGTCTATAGTCTAGTCTATTCTAGTCTATAGTCTAGTCTATAGTCTAGTCTATAGTCTAGTCTATAGTCTAGTCTATAGTCTAGTCTATAGTCTAGTCTATGGTCTAGTCTATAGTCTAGTCTATAGTCTAGTCTATAGTCTAGTATATAGTCTAGTCTATAGTCTAGTCTATAGTCTAGTCTATAGTCTAGTCTATAGTCTAGTCTATAGTCTAGTCTATAGTCTAGTCTATAGTCTAGTCTATAGTCTAGTCTATAGTCTAGTCTATAGTCTAGTCTATAGTCTAGTATATAGTCTAGTCTATAGTCTAGTCTATAGTCTGGTCTATAGTCTAGTCTATAGTCTAGTCTATAGTATAGTCTATAGTCTAGTCTATAGTCTAGTCTATAGTCTAGTCTATAGTCTAGTCTATAGTCTAGTCTATAGTCTAGTCTATATGGTAGTCTATAGTCTAGTCTATAGTCTAGTCTATAGTCTAGTCTATAGTCTAGTCTATAGTCTAGTCTATAGTCTAGTCTATAGTCTAGTCTATAGTCTAGTCTATAGTCTAGTCTATAGTCTAGTCTATAGTCTAGTCTATAGTCTAGTCTATAGTCTAGTCTATAGTCTAGTCTATAGTCTAGTCTATCTATAGTCTAGTCTATAGTCTAGTCTATAGTCTAGTATATAGTCTAGTCTATAGTCTAGTCTAGTCTAGTCTATAGTCTAGTCTATAGTCTAGTCTATAGTCTAGTCTATAGTCTAGTCTATAGTCTAGTCTATAGTCTAGTCTATAGTCTATAGTCTAGTCTATAGTCTAGTCTATAGTCTAGTCTATAGTCTAGTCTATAGTCTAGTCTATAGTCTAGTCTATAGTCTAGTCTATAGTCTAGTCTATAGTCTAGTCTATAGTCTAGTCTATAGTCTAGTCTATAGTCTAGTCTATAGTCTAGTCTATAGTCTAGTCTATAGTCTAGTCTATAGTCTAGTCTATAGTCTAGTCTATAGTCTAGTCTATAGTCTAGTCTATAGTCTAGTCTATAGTCTAGTCTATAGTCATCTATAGTCTAGTCTATAGTCTAGTCTATAGTCTAGTCTATCTAGTCTAGTCTATAGTCTAGTCTATAGTCTAGTCTATAGTCTAGTCTATAGTCTAGTCTATAGTCTAGTCTATAGTCTAGTCTATAGTCTAGTCTATAGTCTAGTCTATAGTCTAGTCTATAGTCTAGTCTATAGTCTAGTCTATAGTCTAGTCTATAGTCTAGTCTATAGTCTAGTCTATAGTCTAGTCTACAGTCTAGTCTATAGTCTAGTCTATAGTCTAGTCTATAGTCTAGTCTATAGTCTAGTCTACAGTCTAGTCTATAGTCTAGTCTATAGTCTAGTCTATCTAGTCTATAGTCTAGTCTATAGTCTAGTCTATAGTCTAGTCTACAGTCTAGTCTATAGTCTAGTCTATAGTCTAGTCTATAGTCTAGTCTATAGTCTAGTCTATAGTCTAGTCTATAGTCTAGTCTATAGTCTAGTCTATAGTCTAGTCTATAGTCTAGTCTATAGTCTAGTCTATAGTCTAGTCTAGTCTAGTCTATAGTCTAGTCTATAGTCTAGTCTATAGTCTAGTCTATAGTCTAGTCTATAGTCTAGTCTATAGTCTAGTCTATAGTCTAGTCTATAGTCTAGTCTATAGTCTAGTCTATAGTCTAGTCTATAGTCTAGTCTATAGTCTAGTCTATAGTCTAGTCTATAGTCTAGTCTATAGTCTAGTCTATAGTCTAGTCTATAGTCTAGTCTATAGTCTAGTCTATAGTCTAGTCTATAGTCTAGTCTATAGTCTAGTCTATAGTCTAGTCTATAGTCTAGTCTATAGTCTAGTCTATAGTCTAGTCTATAGTCTAGTCTATAGTCTAGTCTATAGTCTAGTCTATAGTCTAGTCTATAGTCTAGTCTATAGTCTAGTCTATAGTCTAGTCTATAGTCTAGTCTATAGTCTAGTCTATAGTCTAGTCTATAGTCTAGTCTATAGTCTAGTCTATAGTCTAGTCTATAGTCTAGTCTATAGTCTAGTCTATAGTCTAGTCTAGTCTAGTCTATAGTCTAGTCTATAGTCTAGTCTATAGTCTAGTCTATAGTCTAGTCTATAGTCTAGTCTATAGTCTAGTCTATAGTCTAGTCTATAGTCTAGTCTATAGTCTAGTCTATCTCTAGTCTATAGTCTAGTCTATAGTCTAGTCTATAGTCTAGTCTATAGTCTAGTCTATAGTCTAGTCTATAGTCTAGTCTATAGTCTAGTCTATAGTCTAGTCTATAGTCTAGTCTATAGTCTAGTCTATAGTCTAGTCTATAGTCTAGTCTATAGTCTAGTCTATAGTCTAGTCTATAGTCTAGTCTATAGTCTAGTCTATAGTCTAGTCTATAGTCTAGTCTATAGTCTAGTCTATAGTCTAGTCTATAGTCTAGTCTATAGTCTAGTCTATAGTCTAGTCTATAGTCTAGTCTATAGTCTAGTCTATAGTCTAGTCTATAGTCTAGTCTATAGTCGTCTAGTCTAGTCTATAGTCTAGTCTATAGTCTAGTCTATAGTCTAGTCTATAGTCTAGTCTATAGTCTAGTCTATAGTCTAGTCTATAGTCTAGTCTATAGTCTAGTCTATAGTCTAGTCTATAGTCTAGTCTATAGTCTAGTCTATAGTCTAGTCTATAGTCTAGTCTATAGTCTAGTCTATAGTCTAGTCTATAGTCTAGTCTATAGTCTAGTCTATAGTCTAGTCTATAGTCTCTACCTTGTGGCTGCTTTTAGTTCAGTATTTAAAACTTTTATGCAAAAATTTAAGATTTTGTTTAATTATACTTTTTTTCGAACCCTTTCTCGTAAGTAACCATCTATTTACCAAAAAATGTTGTACTTTTTTTCCTTATTCTTTTTTTGGCAAATAAAAACTCCCAATTGAGAAACTATTTCTTAATAAATAACATTAAAAACTTTCTAAACAATCGCTCCATCGAGTTCGTATATTTTACAAAGAAAAACTAACTGCTACATTCTTGTTAAAATAAATTGTTCTTACAAATAAACTACATAAAATTGCTCATATTTTTATATTTTTTCTTCCTCTTTTCAGTTTCTGAAATGAAAACATATTGTTGATTTGCCGCTAGCGATAAACAAAAAAATTCGTAAATATTATGAAAGCAAGAATATGAAACTGTAAAGAATGTAATAGAACAGATAATTTGTGAATGCAAAAATAAGACAAGAAAGATTTCATCTTGGAAAGCAAAAAGATTTTGTTATTTTTACACACAAGAAAAAAATAAGAAAATAACAAGAAAATCTTCTGCAAAGTTGAGCTGAATTTAAAACTAAGGTTTTTGCTGTGATTTGTGAGACAAGAATAAGGTAAGTTTTATATAAATATTTTTTAAAGGAAATGAATTTAAATCATTACCTGGCAGTGTAGTGATTAAATTAAGAGAGAAAACAAATGCTATATTTTAAACGATGAATTCCCTAAACCTTGATTTAGCAAAAATATTTTTCTTCTGTTCTAGTTCTGTTCTAGTTCTGTTCTAGTTCTGTTCTAGTTCTGTTCTAGTTCTGTTCTAGTTCTGTTCTAGTTCTGTTCTAGTTCTGTTCTAGTTCTGTTCTAGTTCTGTTCTAGTTCTGTTCTAGTTCTGTTCTAGTTCTGTTCTAGTTCTGTTCTAGTTCTGTTCTAGTTCTGTTCTAGTTCTGTTCTAGTTCTGTTCTAGTTCTGTTCTAGTTCTGTTCTAGTTCTGTTCTAGTTCTGTTCTAGTTCTGTTCTAGTTCTGTTCTAGTTCTGTTCTAGTTCTGTTCTAGTTCTGTTCTAGTTCTGTTCTAGTTCTGTTCTAGTTCTGTTCTAGTTCTGTTCTAGTTCTGTTCTAGTTCTGTTCTAGTTCTGTTCTAGTTCTGTTCTAGTTCTGTTCTAGTTCTGTTCTAGTTCTGTTCTAGTTCTGTTCTAGTTCTGTTCTAGTTCTGTTCTAGTTCTGTTTCTGTTCTAGTTCTGTTCTAGTTCTGTTCTAGTTCTGTTCTAGTTCTGTTCTAGTTCTGTTCTAGTTCTGTTCTAGTTCTGTTCTAGTTCTGTTCTAGTTCTGTTCTAGTTCTGTTCTAGTTCTGTTCTAGTTCTGTTCTAGTTCTGTTCTTGTTCTGTTCTAGTTCTGTTCTAGTTCTGTTCTAGTTCTGTTCTAGTTCTGTTCTAGTTCTGTTCTAGTTCTGTTCTAGTTCTGTTCTAGTTCTGTTCTAGTTCTGTTCTAGTTCTGTTCTAGTTCTGTTCTAGTTCTGTTCTAGTTCTGTTCTAGTTCTAGTTCTTTCTAGTTCTAGTTCTGTTCTAGTTCTGTTCTAGTTCTGTTCTAGTTCTGTTCTAGTTCTGTTCTAGTTCTGTTCTAGTTCTGTTCTAGTTCTGTTCTAGTTCTGTTCTAGTTCTGTTCTAGTTCTGTTCTAGTTCTGTTCTAGTTCTGTTCTAGTTCTGTTCTAGTTCTGTTCTAGTTCTAGTTCTAGTTCTGTTCTAGTTCTAGTTCTGTTCTAGTTCTGTTCTAGTTCTAGTTCTTTCTGTTCTAGTTCTGTTCTAGTTCTGTTCTAGTTCTGTTCTAGTTCTGTTCTAGTTCTGTTCTAGTTCTGTTCTAGTTCTGTTCTAGTTCTGTTCTAGTTCTGTTCTAGTTCTGTTCTAGTTCTGTTCTAGTTCTGTTCTAGTTCTGTTCTAGTTCTGTTCTAGTTCTGTTCTAGTTCTGTTCTAGTTCTGTTCTAGTTCTGTTCTAGTTCTGTTCTAGTTCTGTTCTAGTTCTGTTCTAGTTCTGTTCTAGTTCTGTTCTAGTTCTGTTCTAGTTCTGTTCTAGTTCTGTTCTAGTTCTGTTCTAGTTCTGTTCTAGTTCTGTTCTAGTTCTGTTCTAGTTCTGTTCTAGTTCTGTTCTAGTTCTGTTCTAGTTCTGTTCTAGTTCTGTTCTAGTTCTGTTCTAGTTCTGTTCTAGTTCTGTTCTAGTTCTGTTCTAGTTCTGTTCTAGTTCTGTTCTAGTTCTGTTCTAGTTCTGTTCTAGTTCTGTTCTAGTTCTGTTCTAGTTCTGTTCTAGTTCTGTTCTAGTTCTGTTCTAGTTCTGTTCTAGTTCTGTTCTAGTTCTGTTCTAGTTCTGTTCTAGTTCTGTTCTAGTTCTGTTCTAGTTCTGTTCTAGTTCTGTTCTAGTTCTGTTCTAGTTCTGTTCTAGTTCTGTTCTAGTTCTGTTCTAGTTCTGTTCTAGTTCTGTTCTAGTTCTGTTCTAGTTCTGTTCTAGTTCTGTTCTAGTTCTGTTCTAGTTCTGTTCTAGTTCTGTTCTAGTTCTGTTCTAGTTCTGTTCTAGTTCTGTTCTAGTTCTGTTCTGTTCTGTTCTAGTTCTGTTCTAGTTCTGTTCTAGTTCTGTTCTAGTTCTGTTATAGTTCTAGTTCTATTCTAGTTTTGTTCTAGTTCTGTTCTAGTTCTCTTCTAGTTCTCTTCTAGTACTGTTCTAGTTCTGTTCTAGTTCTGTTCTAGTTCTGTTCTAGTTCTGTTCTAGTTCTGTTCTAGTTCTGTTCTAGTTCTGTTCTAGTTCTGTTCTAGTTCTGTTCTAGTTCTGTTCTAGTTCTGTTCTAGTTCTGTTCTAGTTCTATTCTAGTTCTGTTCTAGTTCTGTTCTAGTTCTGTTCTAGTTCTGTTCTAGTTCTGTTCTAGTTCTGTTCTAGTTCTATTCTAGTTCTGTTCTAGTTCTGTTCTAGTTCTGTTCTAGTTCGTTCTAGTTCTGTTCTAGTTCTGTTCTAGTTCTGTTCTAGTTCTGTTCTAGTTCTGTTCTAGTTCTGTTCTAGTTCTGTTCTAGTTCTGTTCTAGTTCTGTTCTAGTTCTGTTCTAGTTCTGTTCTAGTTCTGTTCTAGTTCTGTTCTAGTTCTGTTCTAGTTCTGTTCTAGTTCTGTTCTAGTTCTGTTCTAGTTCTGTTCTAGTTCAGTTTTGTTTCTCTTTTATTTCATAAATTTATTTATTTCTTTTATTATATTATGTTCCCGTTATGTTTTTACTTCCTGTTCACATCATCCAAATCGTAAATTGTGCAGTTGGTGTGATAGTTGTCGCTTTAAATTATGCATTGATTTGTCAACATTTGCTAGCCTATAAATAGGCTATATAAATTAGCATTTATATTGAAAAGAGGAATATTTTGGAGTGAAGTTTACTAAAATAAAACTGAAACATAGAAGATTTATTTTTTTAGGATAATTTCTGTGAGTTATATTTAAATATTTCATTTGTGCATTAATTATCACAGAATTTAATAGCTTGAAATAATTGTCTTTAAATTATGCATTTTCCTTAAACAGTTTCGACGCTAAGTTGCTAGTTACTTTATAGCCTTAAACCAGTTTATGATTTAACATGTGTTTCACAACGCACTTGTTTTGGACATGTGTATGTATAATTTATTTTGTGCTACTAACATACAAATGTAAATCAAAATGATTGCCTATCTTTAGGCATAAATTTATTTATAAAAAAATTCACAGATGTTTGGTATGTGAAATGTGTCACGTTATTGGAAAATAATTTAATTAATAGGATTAAATGTTTTATATAAATACACATCAAATAAAAGAAAAATTATCAAGTTCTGGGAAATATTTAATATGGTTTTTAAATGCAGATTTGAAAACATTATAACAATTTAAAGTTTCTTAAGAAAAAATTAAATGTTTAATAAATAAATTTCTTTTAATTTCTTTAATTATATGAATTTTATTTACAGTGGCTATTTTAAATTACGTAACGCCCCCCACGTCGTATACTTGTTTTATAATTAATCAATATTAATCATACCCCTGTAGTTATCTTTTACTCAATTACAATCATTTATCATGTCGTTTTATTGTTTTTTTTTTTCTTTTTTTCTAAAATTATTTTTAACTCTAACAATTATTTCTGCCATTTGTAGTCATTTTCAAATGAACTTAATTGTTATTTAAACAATTATTAGATACAACATACACACACCCAGCAAGGTCATATTTTCTTTTATAAATTTATAGTTTTAATTGTTTGCAATTTATTCATAAATTCATTAGAACAATTTAGCTAGAAGAATTTCTGTGGCAAAACTATTGATACCAGCACATCAGGCTAATTGTCTTGTTATTAAAAGAGTTTTATACTTGGTTGCAATTAAGCTGGAGGGTACCTACAAACTTTCCTTGCAGCACATTGCAGTGGCAACAATTACCCCCTTTAGATGGCACTGAAGAGCTGCAAAATCGTTATTCAATAATCATTAATTTTTCAATTAATGTTTGTCAAGACAGTTGGTGGTAATTACTGGCGTTTCTACTATTTGCAATTTGTCGAATGACTGATAAATATTTTGTTGATTAAAGAATGCTAAGAATATTGTGAAAATTACTTAATTGGCTAGGGAAATTAAAAACTCACCGGAGGGGATAAAAATTGAAGGACAACCAAAAAAACTAGAACTGAACTAAAAGTGAACTAGAATTTAACTAGAACTGAACTAGAAATGAACTAGGACTAACTAGAACTGAACTAGAACTAGAACTGAACTAGAACTAGAACTGAACTAGAACTGAACTAGAACTGAACTAGACCTGAACTAGAACTGAACTAGAACTGAACTAGAACTGAACTAGAACTGAACTAGAACTGAACTAGAACTGAACTAGAACTGAACTAGAACTGAATTAGAACTGAATTAGAAATGAACTAGAACTGAACTAGAACAGAACTAGAACAAAAACCAGAACGAACTAGAACTGAACTAGAACTGAACTAGAACTGAACTAGAACTGAACTAGAACTGAACTAGAACTGAACTAGAACTGAACTAGAACTGAACTAGAACTGAACTAGAACTGAACTAGAACTGAACTAGAACTGAACTAGAACTGAACTAGAACTGAACTAGAACTGAACTAGAACTGAACTAGAACTGAACTAGAACTGAACTAGAACTGAACTAGAACTGAACTAGAACTCAACTAGAACTCAACTAGAACTCAACTAGAACTGAACTAGAACTGAAGTAGAACTGAACTAGAACTGAACTAGAACTGAACTAGAACTGAACTAGAACTGAACTAGAACTGAAATAACTGAACTAGAACTCAACTAGAACTCAACTAGAACTCAACTAGAACTGAACTAGAACTGAACTAGAACTGAAGTAGAACTGAAGTAGAACTGAACTAGAACTGAACTAGAACTGAACTAGAACTGAACTAGAACTGAACTAGAACTGAACTAGAACTGAACTAGAACTGAACTAGAACTGAACTAGAACTGAACTGAACTGAACTAGAACTGAACTAGAACTGAACTAGAACTGAACTAGAACTGAACTAGAACTGAACTAGAACTGAACTAGAACTGAACTAGAACTGAAACTA